ATGCTTATATATTTCAGGTTGTCCACTTGGGAAACACGGTGTTGGTAATTGTGATTCAGAGTGTGATGTAGGGTGTGCCAATGGTCTGTGTGATCCAGTGACCGGAAAATGCGCATGTAATTATTCATATCTTAAGATTTTAATACTCAATGGAACCAAAAATGCAGCATGCCATTTGCCTGTTGAACGAGAGAAAACAAATCAGTTTATCATTCTTTTTTTTTAACGAGAACCATTGCGATAAAACGTATTTTAAGTACAAGAAAAAAGTGAAGGTCGTCATCATAACCTGATTCAAACTGTGGTGTTTTGACCTTGAATTGGGTTCGTATAGGCTTTCGATACAGTGATACCATTATATATGTCCTATCATGATGATACTATAACATTTACATTATAACATTATAACATTTTATAATTTGAGTAAATCAACATATGAAAAGCAGCGTTCAATTTTGCAATTCTACGTCTTATATATATATTTCCTGTAGACTGTTAACCTCATTGTACACAATGCATCCAATAAGTATATACATAGTGTACATGTTTCATTTTATTTTAAGACTGTGCTGATGGATACTTTCGGCCTGGATCTTTATGCATAGAATGTCCCTCAAATTGTTATGATAACGCATGCAATGTAGAATCCGGTGTTTGTTCCGGTAAGTGATTCATTATACTTCAGTTTAAAACACCAGTCATATAAAATTCTCATATTTCTTTTCGCATTTTGTGTTAATACAAATTCTTGTCAAAAATATATTGCATTCGATGTGGGGAGACAAATACATTTCAATTTTAAAATGATACAACATCTAAGGTATTTTTTGCTAATATGTATTAATCAACTTAATGATATCATGTTATAACTAAATAATTTTTATAATAAACGATTTATCTTGCTTAATGTTATTTCGGAATATACATGAATCAAGCACCATTGTGTACAATCACATTTTCAGTGACAATAAATGACCTAAAAATATGACGAAAAGGTAGCTTCTTACAATTTTTTCATATTCTAACGTGTTTTTCGTCATTTTCTACGAAAGCGTGTACTCCCGGGTATTATGGCGGCCGTTGCAATCAGGCTTGTCTGTTCAACTGTAAGGACAACCGATGTACGCAAATCAATGGAGAGTGTGAAGGTATGTATCACTGGAAGGCATGAAAAAAAAATGTATAGAATGTCTTAAATAAGGATCATTTAAGAAATAATATACTTTTCATATATTCTATTTCCCATATTAGCATACAGCATTCAGATCAATTTTGCATAAAAAATCCACGTTACTGACACAGATCCGAGTTTGAATTTTAATACGTCTAATGAATGAAAATTAAAAGGATATGCAAATTATAATAATGGTGTAGGATGTGCAGCCCTACAACTGAGAGAATAACAAAGTATAGTTAAAACGTGCACAGCTATTGTCGTTTTACGTAGGTTTTTCGGGAAAATGAACATAATCTTTGCGAATCAGGATCGGTAAGCAAGAACATGAACAAGTATGTAGAAAGAACACACAGCAGAGAAATAGTATGACATAAAAACACATTCCGGTAGAAGTACGCAAAAAAAACGAACAACATGGTTGTAAAATATCTGGTCCGATTATGATTTGGTGATGGAATGAATCCCGATCATCAAAATGAAAATTAAATTTCATCAAATTGAGGTAATATTAGAGTTGGAGAGCAAGAGGATACTTAATATATGTTTGACATGATTACAATACATGGTTGCTTTATATGTGATAGGTTTGTTTTGTATTTCAATATGTTGGTAAAAAATGTCGATATGAAACTATATACAGTTCGTTCTCATTTTTGATGGCCAGGCTGTGAAGATGGATTCTTCGGATCGTCCTGTGATGACTGCTCTGTTGGTTGTACTAGTCCAGTCTGTGACAAAATATCAGGAAATTGTAGTCGTAAGTATTAAAAACAGAGCACCTTATCTACTCACTACTAAATCATATTTCAAAATGTCTCATAATCTATTTTCCCGAGTGACAATGGGAGATCCAATTGTCAATGAAATCATAATGTCTTTACATAGTGGTTTTTTTTTCGTATTCATCATTAGTTTAAATTGCAATAAAGAAATTCGTTCAGATGTTTTAGAACGTGTATAAGATACATAGCATTGACGTTGTTACCGGCTTGTTGTTTCTTGAAAATAAATCAAACGTAGATACGAAAAAATCATTATAAAAAGAGTTAAAAACCTACTTATTAACTACAATCCATTAAAGCTTATTTAGACACCCTCGTATATGCGTATACTGCATACATAAGCATTATGTTCTAGAAACCCTCACGGAGGGACCGCAGTGGGGTAGTCAAGTGGTTAAGGGGTCTGACATTCTGCTACCACTAGCCTTTCACCATTTGTCACCGGTTGCTCAGTTAAATATCATAACTCGGACAAGTTGTTTCATGTATATCTCTTTCTTTACTATCTCCGAGAAACCGGGTATGCTGTTCCTAGTATAAGCCTGCTAATACATGCTGAGGGCAATGTATCTGCACGCCCTCTATAGAGTCAATATCAATGGCTCTATCAGTAACCTAGAGTACAGAACCGTCTCTCACAAGTCAGATTGTAAGGGGCAGTCGCCAGGTACTGGCCGTAGGTTGGTGGTTTGTCCCCGGAAACTCCAGCTTTCCTCCGCCATCAAAACCTGGCACGGCCTTAAATGACTATAGCTGTTAATAGGAAGTAAAACTAAAACAAACCAAACTCCGGAAACTCCAAATATCTAACCTGATTAGGTATGTGGTAATAAGTGTTCTGAATTATCCAAATGCATGTTGTAAGATGCGTCTAGTGTGGACGATTTCCATGATTAATGACTGCTTTAAGCGCAAAGTTCATGGATTGGTTAAAATTCGTCCCTATATTTCACATAAATTTGCATTTCGTACTTGTGTTTTATCTTTCAAATATTACCAAGAACTAGGACAATAATAGAATATGTCAAAACATTTTATAATACAATGTTGATCCCATGATCCTGTCCTTTTCAATTTCAATAAATGTTATTGTCAAAGGACAAATGGATTGGGCAGCAGGCATGATCTATTTACGGCCTTTCCAAACATAGTAACAAACAGTGGTACAAGCATAGACATAGACATTAGAGCATACAATCAAATACATAATCAGATTAGGGGAAACAATTACTAATACTCATTTCTATTATAATTGAATCTAATGGTTTAAATTATAACCTTTTATTTTGATACCGAAAAGACATATAATATATTTATTTATTATATGCATGAACATTTCTCAAACTCATGTAAACTGGTTATCCGTTGAATATCGATTTCTAAATATAACCTATATGGAAATTCCCCGGAACCTGTCATAGCGCATGCGCAGGTAGACCGGAACACGATATGTCAGATGACATTATAAGATGGCTGCTGGCGAACGTTTCTCCTCCGTTACATCAGAAAAAAACCTATTTGAGGATAAAGATTATGTTAACATAAAAAGGGCCACTGAACACGCAGTGCATGTCCTCAATGCTTATCTTAAGAATAAAAACTAGATGATGTCTTCGAAAGCTACGATGCTGACCTGTTGAATTCAAAC